AAAAAAAAAAAAAAAAAAAAAAAAAAGCTTAATCCTTCCCCTCTTGGCAGAAGAATCACGTGTCAGAGAAGCAAAGGTTGACACCTGGGACACCTGTGAGAATGGCTCTTCACTAACCAGTGACTTGCAGTCCCAGGAGAAGACAAGTTTAGAGGTGATGGCCATGTGCCTGCCTAGACCTCCCTTGAGTTGCCATCCCCAGGTGTTGTAAGCTGGATGTGAGGAATTCCATGGCCAGGGAAAGAGGAAACACAGACTGTGAGCACACAGCTGCAGCCCTGCCCGGTCCCTGTGACTCTGATACCACCTCGAGATACGTCTGAGTGATGGAGGTAAGGTCAGGTCTCTCTGTAGAAAGAAATGTCTTATTCAGAAGGAAAGTACAGCATAGACGTCTCTCTTCTTATTCAATGCAGAATGCCTTTGTGTGACTCCTCAAGTAAAAATCCACCCAAAACAAACCTGGAAACAGGATGGAGTTGAGGTCTTTTAGGATGTTCGCCTTTCACTCCTCACCTCTCCAACTCTTGGCTATTCTTGCCCGCTCTGATGTGTTTGTTACTGATGTCTATTTTTATTCCTCACCTCTCCCAGCATTGCCACAGGCCCAAGAGATGCATTCCGCATGTGATTTTGAGGGACACATTCTCGGGGACAGTTTCCATCACCCCACCTTGAACACAGTTTCACCTGGGTCCCATCTCTGTGATAAGCAGCATTTGGACCAGATGCTTTCCAACTTTTATGGAGAAATGTGTGTGCACTGCAGTGACCCATAGAAATAGGAGAAACTGCATTTTTGTCCCCAGAGAAGATGATCTATATAAACTATGAAAACTCAGGCACATAGCGGAATACACCTAAATCCACTTGGTGTGTGCAGCTCTTACCATTTCCTTTAGCAATAAAATGCAAAGTGTGGGGTTGGCAGACATCCCTGCCCAGTACTAGCAGGCTATGAGTGGCATGTGCTTCTTGCTTCCCTTAGCTTGGCTATATTGTTTCATATCAGGAGTCACACCAATATCAGCTAGCAGAGTTGGGCTAGCATAGCTCCTTTGCTAATGGCTGTCACCGAGGCCCAATCCTGGCCTGTGAAGTGGCAGGGCCCTGCTGAATTACGTGCAGCTGAGGTCAACATGATTGCAATTAAAACCCTCGCCCCTCAATTATCGCTTCTCACTGACCCAATGGGTTGCTTGCCATTGCACCTGGTCCCAGTACTGGTTTCTTCTGTCCTAGGAGATAAGCAGTGCCGACTTCCTAACAGCCCTGCCTGGGGCCACCATGCCAGGTGCTCGGCGGTAATTCCCTAGATGACTCCCAAGCTCCCTAGCTCCCTATTCCTTCTCACGATTGCATTCAATAAACACTGGATGCGCTTGGGGGCCTTTGTCTTTGCCGCCGTGGGTAGCGCTGATCAAGTCTCAAGATCCGGCTTCTTCATTCTAGGTCTGATTTCCTGCCTGTTCTTTAAGTTGCCTTATGCTGTGGTGGCTCACAGGGGCCAGAGCCCATGGCAGAGGTCCTGGCAACATCCTCTTCCCCGTTCCCTTTAATGTGGCTTTAACAAAGACTCTAGAAAAATAAAATATGCATTATAGTTACTGCTACTGATTTCTGGAAAAGGCATTCCAGAGCATTTGGTTCATTTCTACAGTGATTTAAGGAAGATCTTTCTGTCCACATACTACCCACCATACTGTGGCCTGGTGGAAATTGCTATGGTCTTTCCTTTTGAATCTGTGATATGAGTAGAGTCAGCTCGTGACTCCCTCACAAGGCCCAAAGTCTGCTGCCTGCTGTGGCTGCTAGAGGAGCTGAGCATTATGCTTCCTTGGTGCTCTAATGAGAGGGGGTCCATGGGGCAGACCCTGGCCCCCGATGTCCTAGTCCATGGGTTCCCTGATTTGCACTGCAAAGCTACTGCACACTTCCAATACATCAAGTCCACCCAGAACCAGAACACTTCCTTCCTTTCCTTGGGCTGCTTTCATAGACGTGTGGACCTTCTGGAAGCAGAACACCAGCTAAAAAGTCCGAAGCCCTTGCTCAACTCTCACGGGACCTGCCTGGGTGCATCCAAGTCCCATGAGCTCTGGGACCTGTGGCACCCAGGCCCATCCAACCCAAGATGCTCCTCAGCTGGGACAACCCATCCCCATATGTGACATTTGCCAATGCTTGGAGATGCTTTCCCACATCCTCAACTACACTGGGAGTTAGGGGAGGCTAACTTGAAGCTTTGGTCTGGGATGTATAAGAGATTTAGGGTCTACGTACCTCAAGGTCACTGCCCTAAGTGCAGAGAAGACTCTCACACCCACCTCCAATCCACAGAGGAGTTCTTTGTCCCCAAATCACTACAAGTAATAGCGGATCCTACACCCGTCTCATCCATAACTCTGCCTCTGGCCTAAGACCATAGTCCAGAATGTCATCGTCTCTCATAAGTGGACCCTGGAGCATCACCACCAAACTATGGGGTGGAGTCTTTGGTTTCTGGAGAGAGTGTGGGAAAACATTAATCCTCCCCTCAGCCTCCTTCTCTATCCCTGGGACTCTCTCCTCCCCACCCCATCTCTATTTCTGATGACTGAGCCGAGGTCCAGGCTAGATGTGCGGGGAGGGCGTTCTCCCAGGTGGGGAAAACCTCAGGAGATGGGAGGAGATTCACAGAGTGGAAGGGGGACTGTTCCTCAAGGTCAAGTTGATTTTTTCCTCCATTAACTCCTCCTTTTCTATTCCTTCTCTGATTCCATTTGCCTCCTCCACGTGCTATAATAAGCACAAAAGGCTTTGAAACACACACATCCTTTATCTCCACTCCAGGACGGGGGTGGGGGGGTAGGCAGCTCAGAGCTCTGCTTCTAGATCTGCTCCAGACTCAACCAAGGAGTGGCTCTACTCTTATTCTGCCTGGGGTGGAGATGTCTTGGAGGCCTGTCCTGAACCTGCTAAGTCACATCCCAGATGGACACCAAGGCCTCCTCACAGTCAGGTGCAGGGGAACTGGAAGAGTGAGCCCGCTTTCAGCCAGTGCCCTCCAGTTATTCCACAGAGCTGGTGACACAGCCCTTCACGTGAGCCGGCTACACCACAGTCACAGAAGAGGATGCTCTGTCCTTTACCCGCCTCTCAGGTGACTCTATCCAGTGGATCTTCAGTAACTAAAGTCTGCAGCTCACAGGTGGGATGAAGCTGTCCCAGGACCACAGGATCCTCAGCCTGGACCCCGTCAGGAGGAAGGACGCTGATAAGTAATATCACGAGGTCTCTGACCCAGCAGTTCCAGCAGGAGTGACTCCCTCAGGCTGGCTCTGGAATGAGACTCACTTATGATCAGTTTTTAAATTCTATATCGAACTTTTTCCTGAAAAATGGCCGTTATCCCCACCAATGTTTATAGAGCTAATGCGAATGGAAGTGGAAAGTTCTTAGAAGACTTATATTGAGTCAATAAATTCCAGAGCATGAACACTGGCGGAGTGGGAACTGCCATTGTCATTTTCTTTATCTGAGGTCCTGTTTACCACCAGGTCCTCCAGTTGGGCCTTCTCCCCTGTGGAAGTGATTCTGGTCTGCAGGAAGAGGGTTACCTGGGTGGGACCCAGTGAGTGTCAGGCACTGAAAGGTCTTTCCTGCCTTGTGCTTTCACCATCGCCCTGGAAAGATGGTCTCAGCCACACCTGCTCCAGGAAGTGCAGACTTAGGCTGAATCACACTAGCGATGAACTCAAAACCCGTAACACCCCCACCTCCCGTGCTGCACCAGCTCCTGCAGGCCGCACCCTCCCGGATCAGCAAATCCCAGACCCTACACAGGAAGTGGCCTGCACTCCACTAAGGTACAGGAGATTCCTGCACACACTCAGTGTCCCTGGGGAGGGACCCCAGGCTAGCCGTGGAGAGCTTGCGTTCATACCCTTGCCAAGACCCAGGCCTCTCCCTTACACCAAAAGCCCAAGAACTCTGTACCCTGAACCTTAGTTGGAAAGAAGCTGCCCCTAAGCTTTTCTGACCTTGGGAGGGGCAACTGGGCACAGATGGGCAGCACAACGCACACCAGCAGAGTGTTCCCTCCTTGGAATATTAAGTCCCTGGTGATCCTCACTGGTGGACTGATCCGCTGTCTACACCCCAGGCCTCCGATTCTCTGACCACACAGCCTATGTAGCAATCTCCACCTTCTCCCCCATCCCCATCCCCAGGTAGCCTGTGCCCCTCAGCATCCCTTCCCTGAGTAAAAGGTGGGCTGTGCCCAGAGAGCTCAGCTCCAAGGAGGGAGCTCATCCGCAGAAGGGACAGGACAATAGACCACCCAGAGAGGAGGACACCAGGGTGTTGGCACAGCAGGCGTCTGAGGGGTGAGCAGGCAGCCCCTCTTGTAGCTAAGCTTTCACTGTGACCTTCAGGCTCCCCCAGGAACCTGGACTCTGACCACATTTGAGGGGCCTCTGGGGAGTCCATGTGGGCTCAGGTTGTTGCGGTGTTGGGAATTAGTCATGAATGTGTTTAGTGGGATGAGGGAGGTGAGAGAGAGAATTCTGGGGATGGGGCAGCACCTGGCTGCCCCCACACCACACTGGCCCATGGGACATGAACTCTGGAAAAGTGACTTCCTGGGTCCATGCTTGTTTCCCTCCCAAGTGCGTGTCCTAGAGTCATGGTCCAAGACAAGGTCCCTTTGCACAGTCCAGCCCTGAAAGCTCAGCCTGTCCTCTCCCGCCCCACTCAGACCACTTCTTGGCTCCTTTTCTAGGTGTCCC